CAGAACTGGGAACCACAAGTCTCATGATCAGCATGTCAGTGACAGCTCTAATGTTATTTTAATTCAATATTTTGAGAGATAAAATAACACCAACATTTCAAGAAATTTTTTCCAGATCTTTTTTTACTTGGTCTTCGAAGTTTTAGTGCTCCAAGTGTTCCGCAATTCCGCTTCTGCAATTACAAACAAACATGATTGTTTGACATTAACTTTTTTTTTTCAAACAGTCAAAAGGTCCACCACAGAAAGATGATTACTTTTAAAATACATTATTGAGTGCTGGTTCTTACCACACTGTCTCTTAATAGACCATGTATTTTGTTCAGTATAGACGTCTCAGAACTTGCACTCTCAGAACTTGTATTTTCAGATTGAGAGTGATGTAGAATGCACATAGCATTTGTACTGTACTGAGAATTTTAAAAAGCAAAGACAATGCAAACATGAACATTCATCAGACATATGTGTCAAGTAATCAGTTGTACATAGCTTCTAACATTATAGAAGTAGCATTAAAAGAAAATACAATAAAAAATTATATTTGAAATGTTAGCCTGTGGTACAAATGAGCTTTCAGGCCTACCTGTCCGGGTGAGATGTCATTACATGTAAGGTTAAGCCCCTGTGGGGAAAATCGAAACTTGTGAACAACATATTAAAAATTCACCTTTTTACATTTACGTCATGTACTAATCCAGATACACAGATCCAATACACTAATCCAGATCCAGATCCAGATAGTACACACTACAAGTTAAAAGTTTGGACACACCTAACAAAATAAGAATTTTTCATGATTTTAAAGACATTATGATGTAAATGATTATGCCTAAATACAAATGGAAAGGAAATAGGGCAAATACGAATAGAGGAATTGATGTTGATGAAGGAAACTGTTTTCAAAACAAAATTGTAAAATTTAAATTTAAAACATTAATGCCCCCAACAAGTGTTTTTCAGCAACAAAAGGGCCCCAGAATTTGTGCATCTTCTTCAGTCCTGTTGGAAAAGCATTCTACAGGACTGAAGCATCCTCATGAAATTGTGCGAGAGAATGATCAAGAGTGTATAAAGCTGCATCAAGGCAAGGGGGCTAAAAAATCTAAAATCTGATTTGTTTGACAGTTGTTTTTTTCTCTATGTAATTCCTTATGTTATTTCAAGTTCACTATTATTTTAAAATATGGAAAACAGTATAAATGAGCAAAACCTTTCTATGATTATAAGAGTACACTATTTGACTGATAATGTATAACAGTCTCAGCACATCAACAAAATCAAAATATCCAGCTAAATTGTACAAACAAGCAAGAAGAAAGCTGTTAAGAACTACTGATGAAATTGTTTGGGCAATGCTAAGCAACTGTCTGGAGCAGCTCTGTAGAGAAACTCACTTGCACATGTTTAATGATTATGTTATAGGAATCATTCTGAACATCCAGAAGACATGGGAGGGGTACATTGATTTTCTTCAGATGGATCACATCTGACTTGATGGTGAGGAATACAAAGGCCAGGAATAATAGATCTGTTGGCAAAAGAAAAAAAGGTTAAGGTAAGATTCAAATGTAAGCATCCAATAGCCCTTGCTTCAAAACAGGAGTTATCACTTACCAGTAAGCTTTCGTGTATTCATCTTGAGCCATTTGTGAAGGTCACTGCTGGAGGTCCTTTTATACCAAACTCAGTTCATATTGAGCACTACGCTTTATCGGCTTGATGTATCTTTCTTTCTTTCTTTCTTTCTTTATGGGGCACCACACCGGTGATTACACATAACAGACTCGCAATATGTGAGTCAAAATGAGAAAATCCCAAGTGTTCTGTGCAATTGACTTAATGTACCACTATTTCCATAACTATTTTAAAACACATTCATAGAACTAATCTAGTTGGACAGATGGATTACAAGTTATATTAGTAAAGTAGAGGTAGTGAGTCAGAAATCATCAAAAGACTTGCTCACCACAGGCTGCCCACATCAAAGAGACTGAAACTATTCTAATCTCTCTTGAAAATTTTCTTTGAAAAGCATTCAAAAAACTTCATCTATTAATTTTATCTTTCATCTTTACATTTTACCTTTTACCTGTATACATTTTTGTTACACATAAACGCATCAGAAAAATTCCACTGTGTAAAACAAAATCAAATGTCGACTCTATCAAATATATGAGAAACAGACACTCTTTATGTTGGCTATGACAGATGTCAACCTGATGAGTGAAACATTAAGTTTTTAAAAATGGACTACAGCCAACCTGTTAAAAGTTATTGTAACACTGTGTTACAGTAACAAATCACAATTATGAAGTAGCCATATTCATAATTCACAGGTGACATGACAAACAAACTGATATAGTGTATGGAGATTCAGATGCAGGCAGAAAATGAATTCAACCAAAAGAGGTATATATATTATTCAGAATCACTAACCATAGTCAAATGAGTTACACACAAATAGCTACAGATTTAAAAGAGCAACAGTGCCCATAATTTCACTTTGCTATTGTCAATTACAAAAGCTAAACATCTTATGAGCAAATGTTTGCAATTGTAACCTCTTTTTAACATCTATAACATCATATTTGGAATGTTATTTGAGAGCTACAGTATATTGTAGCTTTTAGGACAAAACTTTACATCTCTATTTTTGTCATTTTTTAATTTTTTAAATAATTTGAAAATGCTCCTCTCTACATTGTGTAAAAAAGCCATGATGATTGGGAATTTTTAAGTTTTTACCCAACAGCAACATAGCCAACAAAGGCACTGGACATGATGACCTTAGACTAACGTGTAGCTACTTCAGAGCGTCCTATTCTATTAGCAATGCTTTCCTATGTAGAACATACAAGCTGTATGTGCTACCTGAACACCTCTGTTAGAGACAGGGGCATCTGAAAGTAACTAAATTCACAAGTAAGAAGGGGTGCCATGATACCTTTGGACATCATAAAGCTGATTAGCAAACAAAATGAGCCATGGAGATATGTTCATAATGCTCATTTAGTGTTACAATGAAAATGGAAATGGATTTAACATCTAAAAAAAATAACATTTTTTATTAGCCCATAATTAAAGCAGGATCCACTAATGCTTAAAATCCACTAGGCCTATTCAGTGTAGAATACCTAATTAAAGTATTGATTAGTACAGTACATTACATTCAAAGTTGGCATGTTTTCTTATACCATTCAATGACAAAATAGAATTGTTCATACATACAAAAACTTTGGTAAAGAATGTTTTATTAGAGTTCTACTATTGTATATCTTGGCAATATAACAAAATGAGCCATTATTTTGGGATATCATCTTGATGTTGCAGTTTATTGTCGCATAACCTCAACAATGGCTGTCCTTGAATGTAAAAATGTCCTACTGACCTAAGCTCCAGTTTCATAGTGCTTAATTCTGTTTGTCTCAAGATTCATCTGATTTTGACAGGCTTCAAAGTGCTCGCCAGTAATCTACGATATTACAGTTACAGTTTACAGTTAGTAGAGGTATGAGAAAGCATAATGCTAAGACTTCTGCCTGTCATCTAAGACTCAAAACAGGATAGGTCATGCAACATAAATGTGAGACACAGAAGTAAAACAACAATAGAACAATAGATCCAAATACAGGAGATTGTGTTTTTTAATGTTTGGTGCAGGACTGATCAGCAGCTAGATGAAACATTTGGTTGATTCTAAAAAACGTTCTATTAATGACTTAATACTACTTTTCCCATCAGTCACTTTGATTACAGAGGTGAAAAAATGTAGCACACTACTGTACTGTGCTAAGGTATAGAGCATCTGCATCAAAAAATACAAACATAATGTATTGCAGTATTGTAAAAGGAGCCAGTGCTATTTCTTATTCATGGCCTTGCGTCTTTCTCATTTGTGATTATTTTTTGATCAAGTTAAGGTTCAACGGGAAATAACCCAATTTTAAAAACACTTTAGAAATGCCCTTTTAGGAGGAGTTTATACTTTTGTATTTTACACTGAGTAAGGAATTTGTATACTTCTACCACCTCTGCTTAATTGATGATTAAACTACATTACACAACCAAAAGAATGCAGACACCTCTTGTACACACCTCTTTAACTCCTGGAGTTTTGCTGGAGTAATTAATGTTCAGCACCTGGCAGTCTGATGGATCTAATGATTTGGCAGATGCCAGGAGAATGCTATTTGCCTGAATGCAGTCCTATTTGTGTGGAGAAGAAATAACTATCTGCGAGTGTTTTTCATAGTTTGGGCTGGGCCTCTTAGTTCCAGTGAAGCAAAATCATAATGCTACAGCACACAGAGACATTCTAGAGAATTGTGTGCTTCCAACGTTGTGGCAGCAGCTTGGGGAAGGCCCTTTCCTGTTTCAGTATGACAATGGCCTTGTGCACAAAGTGATATCCATAAAGAAATGGTTTGCAAAATTTGGTCGTGAAAAACTTGACTGGCATGCACAAAACCCTATCTTTAACCCCACTGAACAGCTTTGGTATGAAATTAAATGCAGACTGGGCCTTATCTCCCATTATCAGTGCCCAACATCATTATGCTCATTGCTGAATGAAAGCAAATCCAAGCTGTTCCAAAATCTTCCCAGAAGAGTGGTGGCTGCCAAGCAGCAAAGGGGAGACCGACTATATATTTATGCCCAGGTTTTGGATTGTGATGTTCAGGTGGCCACTTTTGCCAATATAGTGAACTGGTTCAACTAAGATACAATGCTGGAAACTGTTTGCTTGTTAAATAAGCCTGTCTATATTTATTATCGTAACTAAAAGATTTTATTTTAGGAGCTATTTTAGGAAGACTCCAGATAATTCACAAATTATGGATTAAACATAAATTCAGTATGAAGTAGATATAAAGTTGGTTGAGCACTACATGAAGCCGAGCTTATGCATGCAGCTTGGTGAAATCACTTTATCAGTGTACTCTTATACCCTACTGTTCTCACAGATAACACATCACTGTCAAAAAACAATACCACACAACAATGATTACATACATTTATTTCAGTCTCAGTACTCAATCTTAGAATTTTCAACACAGAGCAGCTAAAACGTGCTTACAAAAGAGATGCTGCTGACAAGTGTCTGACACACTAACAACTGTGCATTAGAACAGCTATTGCTATATGGTGCTTTATATTTTATTCATATTTGTTTGTAAAATTTTTGTTTGCAGTGAAAACAGTGGCTGGAAACATTTTCACAAATTGACATTACTGCAAATATACAAATACTCAACAAGGTTCAAATAACAATGACATTTTACAATTTGCATATATTTGTTATGTACAGTAAATATCTAGACAGTCTTATTCCATGTGTGTTGTCAAACAAGAAAGTGCTGCAATAATACTACAGTTTGAGACTGTGTCTAGTAAGAGCAGAGACTGAGTTAACAAAAGAAGACAGCACATTATACAGCGCAAGACCATATTGGTATGGGGCTAGCTTGGCAAACGAGGTGGGGCTACTAAGAAACTCTAAATGCGCTAATCTTCACTCTTTCATTACTACTGATGATGCATCGGTGTATCATGCAAGTCAAGACTATAAGTGCTTCAAGAAACAATAACAAAGGATATTGATTAGGTCACATTTCCTTGGAATGAGCTCATTAGCTAGCCCAAGCACAACAAAAAAATAAAAAAAAATAAGGATCCTGTCAATCAAACTTCCGTCAGGCATTTTGCAACAGAGTCGAGTAGATCATCTTTGTGATCTGCAGCACTGCTGCGTGTAGCAAGTACTGTATCACCACCGTGCCAAAGCCCTTGTAGAAGCCCATTGTGCCCTCTTCCCGGAATATAACATTTATACAGTCCCTCATACCTTCATACTGTGTGTTAATTGGAAGCACCTCAAAGCCTAGGTCAGTGTTATCGATGATGGTGCGGGTTCCTTGAATGTGTAGCCTATGTAACACTGTTTCTAAAGGAAAGAGAAGCACGTCAGCACAGAGGCTAGCAGCAAAGCTAGCGATCAGCTCAGGGAAGTAGGCATCCAGCATGTTCTGGACAGTCTCTGAACCAGAGTCACGGCCCACGCGCTTGGGAGAGGTGTCACTCCTGTTGCGGCAGTGCAGGAAATACAGCACCAGCTTCTGCACACTGGAGCTTATGATGTAATGTAACACACCATGGAGAACAGTAGGAAATACCAGCCTCCACAGAGGCAGGAGGCGCTTGCTGTGGGGCACACCCAAGCCCATCACACGGCCCACGCCCTCTTTCACACAGTCCAGGATGCCAGGATTGTCCCGAATGATCTCGCTCTAGGGAGGGCATGGAGAAGAGCAAATAAAGAGCATGTTGTATTGTCTAAAAGAACAAATATAGGAGTAGAAAAAAAGTGTAAAAGGAAAACAAACATGCTGCTAGAAGTATTTACAGGCTGACTCATTCATTTGAACTTAAAACTTTCTGTATCTGTTCCTCCAAAATGTCAAGTACACTTAACTAACACTGAATTTCTGCAGTCACTAAGTTTGTTTAACTACGCTCCTATGCTGTATGGTGTTTGGTCTCTAGTTCCATTGGCCTTGTACTGCCACACTTCTCTGTATAAGAAACAATTTGCATATGCATTTGCATCCAGAGATGATTATTGTCAATTTTAGTTAAAGAGGTCACTGTTAAAAGTTACACTGTAAACCTCCAGCATTTAAAAAACATCAGCCTTTATAAGTCAATAAATTGCTTAAGTATATTAAGCTTAAAACTGGATAAAAATAAGCCTTATGTTTGTGTGTAATGCAACTCAATTAGCAAATGCAAATCAGTGTAATTTTATGTATGTACCTTCCTGTAATTTGCTGCATCTAAATTACTGTAATTTTGTGTATCTAGATCAAAATATCAAAGACTGACCTGGACAGTTTCAATGAGGCTTGCTGAGTAAAACGGCATTGCAACCACATACGTTAAACTGGGAAAGAGAAAAATGAAATCTGAAGACTCTTGCTCAAAACGTTAAACAGAATGAGATAAGAGGATGATAGACTATTAAAATGTCAAGTGCTAGAAATTCCCTGTCCACTAAATCAACACCTGACTAAATCACAAAACAACTGTGACCAAGCAAGTTTTCTTCAGAATATCACAGCCTAAACACAAGGTTGGATTCATAGTAAAACAAAAATAAAGAATAACATGTGTTTTTCTAATCAGAGAAAAAGGACAGAATTTCATGTTATTTTCACAGAGACAAATATATATATATATTGTTATTGTAATTTTTTTTGTGGGGTTTGTAATATCACACTTGTGCTATAATCTGAACATCTGACTGTTGAGTTTTGATACTAAACTAGATCCTTATGAGTGTATAGGTGTGAGTGTATAACTGGCTATACAAACAGTAAATATAAGAGGTGGATAGACTAACCAAAAACAACATTAAAATTACTGTTCTCAAGTAGAAAGAAATAAAAAGGATCAACTCAAAAAGTATAAGCACTGAGTTACATGTAGGGACTTAAGTTTGTTAAGTGCTGTTCTTCTCTTTTTGTCATACTTTTTCTAAATTGATAAAGCTTGAACATCAGAGGTTAAAGCACTACAAAGCAATCTCTCAACAACTAAGGACTGAGGAGGATTAAAAGGATTAAGAAGTAGATTCCATTATAAATTTACGCAAGCATTATTATTTCGAAATATTCCCAAAAGTACAAATCCATACGGATAAATGAGAAGGTAAATAGGTGCATTTATTGAGTACCTAGTTGACGGACTACTTAAAATCTATCTCCACTAACTCTTTGAGGGTTCATGATTAAGACAAAACCATAAAATGTGGAGGTTTTGCTCCTCTTCTGAAATGTTTGCTTTGTAGATACAAAACAGTTCCTCAAAATAGCCACAATATACAGCGTCAGAATCTTGCAAACATTCTCTTTCACACTATTTCACTAGAAAGACAATACCATCAGAATATTATGTATCTGAGGAGTTTGAGGAACTTGTCTCAACTTACCCTTTCAGTACAAGGTGACCCACAATTTGCTTTGGATTCCATTTATGTGATAATTCCCTGCAAATAATCATAAAACACAATTGTATGGAATCTTCCTCCACAGTGGAAAGCACTGTTAAAGGCTGAATAAGTACTGCATTCAGATTTCTCTTGATCTGGATATTAAAACACAGAACTGTGTGTTAAATGTCTCTGTCAATAACTTGTTAATAAGGAGAGAAGGTTTAAAGCCATGAGATGGGACAAGGTTATAGGATCTGGCGCAAATACTCATGTGAAAGACAATCAGCAGCATAATTCAATATGAATTTTAACCATCTAATATGATGAATATGAATTTATTCTAAACGTCGAGGCATTTGTTTCATGGGCTTCCAAGTCAGTCAGTTTATTCATATTGCATTAAATGGTTCTATATTCAGTTAATTCATGGATGGTCATAAATCAGCATCCATTTTTCTAGCGAAGAAGCTGTGAAATTCAGAGGCTAGCTCCCAGATGAGCTGCTGACTCACATACTTCCATTTGACTCACTATCAGATAGCCACCACCCCAGCCTCAAACCAAGGGGGATTCCAAAGGTGACTGCTTTTGAACAGAGCCTGGCTCACTGAACCAAAGCAAACAGTAGTTGAATTCACTCTTGCCTTGGCAATGGGGTGCATTCACTAATGATGCCCTCAGTTCCAAGAGTCACTCCCTGGACCACAAAAGTGCTGCCCATTCCTTTCCAAAGGGCCTTTGGACCCTGAGTGAGTGAGAGAGAGAGAGAGAGAGAGAGAGAGAGAGAGAGAGAGAGAGAAAGAGAGAAAGAGAGAAAGAGAGAGAGAGAGAGAGAGATGCTTATATAACTTACTCAAGCCCATTTCACTACTAGATATTCAGATCTCTACAAGAGTGTATTTTGTACATTATCTTAGATAGAAGGGGCAAAAACTTCTGTGGAAAAGTGACACAGCATTATCGTCAAAGCACAATATTTGTGTGACACATTAGTTTTTTTTTCCAGTCAAGTTTTTGAGAGACAAAAAGTCAACAGTGTATTTTTATACAATTTTGGTATGAGCTGAGGTCGCTATGTCCTGTTTACTGGGAATTTCAGGGCAAGCATGAAAGCGTGCAACAAGGTTTATTACAGTCTAAGGGCTACATTCATAGTTACACTCTTAAAATATAAAGGTGCCAGAAAAGCTTCTTTACACAATGCAATAAAAGAACCACTTTTGGTTCCCAAAGGAAAGGTTAAAGAACCTCTAAATAATGTAAAGGTTCTAGAAAGTATCCTCAAATGGTCAAAAGCTTTATATTATGAGATTCTTTAAGCCTTTAAAAGGTACTTCACATTCATAAATCTCTTTTTTCAAACAATGGAGCTCCTTCTTCAACTGTTCTTAAGAGGAATTTCTTCTAAAAACCCACTTATGCAGTTTTCAAGATGACTCTGACATTCACCAATGTTTTCTTATTTGGGATTTGTTCTTGGGTAATAACAGAATCTATGCAAACTCAAGAGCAAAAAGGTGCAAATAATTTTGTGGTTGAAGAACACGTCATGGATCTGACATAAGACTTTTTCTTAGGCCCTTTCTCAAGAACAAATTTACTTAAAAAGACATTGCTAAATGAGGCTCAATGTTCTTAAGACAACCAAAAGTGGTTCTTCTATTGTACTGCTTATAGAAACATCTGCGGCAATTCTTTTAAGAGTGTATGGTACGGACAGGTTTTGGGCATAAAATGAAGCACTTTATTGTAGCATACTGGTCATAAGGCTTTCTGACACCTATCTAAGCTGGTCATAACAACTGACCTAACCCTATACAAATGTTTATAAACGCTTATTCCAATAGGCATAATTCGCTATAAAGGTTACATTTGCCAGTTTTGATCAAAGTGAGCTAAAGTAGTCTTTATGACAGATGACACCCATTGGAATAGGCATTAATAAACATTTATTTAGGGTTAGGTCAGTCAGATGACAAGCTTATGTAGGTGTCATGTAGCCTTATGAACAGCACCCTACAGTAAAGTTTTACCAATGAAGCTAGGAGGTGACATACCTGAGTTTTAGTGACGTTGTACATCACACTGAGAGCAGTCATAGGAGACAGGTGATAGCACCTTGCATGGTAATTAACCTGAAATAATAAGCAAAGCTGTGATCACTGAGCTCTGAATTCATTTCTTTGTTTCTTTTAAACTCTTTAATCAAGATCTAAAGAATTTTTACATTGTAGCAATTTTAGTACTGGTATTTTAAATTCTTAAATGAAAAAACAGTTACCAGTCATAAAACTATAACACAGATAGGCCAAAATACAAATTATAATTTATCCAATGTCAGATTGTGTGCTTGGACAAAAACCTGATTATTTCTGATAGTCATAATCTAATAGTGCATAGATTTAGATCCCAAAGCATGTGTTGATCTTGGAGATTTGATATTAGGATATATAGAGGAGCTTTAATTGTTTGAACCAATATACTTAGTCTCCTTATCTACCACAATTAAGATGCTCCATGAGTGTACATTTTTAACGTAAACATGATTACATTTTGTTTAAAAAAATTAAATCGCATTAATCACAAACAAATGAAAGTTTGTCTGAATCTTTTGATGAATGAAAGCATTTCCCAAAATGTTAGCATCATTCAACATACATTTTTCTTTTTTCAGGCTTACCTGGCATTGCCGTCGAAATACAATACATGGGTGGGCTAGGACATTTTCTGTAAACAGGCTAAACAAAACCGAAAAATTCTTAATAACTGTTCAATCTTTTAATTGATTTAATAAGTAAGATACGGGTATTAGGCATGAATTACCTTGCAAGGCCTATCCCAAAGCCAGCAAATCTGTTCAATTGATCTGAAAGTTAAAGAAGATTGTCAAACTACTACAGCTTTATCTTAAAACTGGACAAGAAAAACACATGCAATTACAAATAAATAAAGACTAAATATCTAACCAAAATTAATGTAGCCTGGTAAACTTTTGAACATCTACAAGGAAAGTCTGTGTCAACCATTCATATACAGCTTTGTTTACACAAACTCAATTGTTTAGAGTATTCCATCAAGATGCTTCCCACTGTAACTGCTAATGTAAGCACACATGGTTGTACCGAAACATTCAGCCAGGCTTTGGTAAATAACTAAGATTAATAAGCAGAATTATAGAAAAAGCTTAGATTAAGCTTAGATTCACATAAAAAGTGATACATGTGTTTAGTGCTGTGTTATACAAGGTGTCCCACAAAAATTGACATCATCTGAGATGTGAATATCTGAGTAACTACTTGTCCTAGGCAAATGAAATTAAATAGGCTTCATGTTGATCGATACAAGATTTTTTTTATCAAAATTTGAACAAGAAATTCAGAGGGATGTAGATTTTATAACCGATTTCACAAAGCTTCACAAATGTAATATCTTCTGATACTGGTGGTCCCTTTGCCCTGCGCAGACAGCCTTCCTCTTTGAATTTGTGCCATGTCCAAATCTGCTTTCCAGTTGGTGCATTTTTATTGAATTTTCTTGAAAATGCACACTGCACACTCCTGTTTGACTGTGTTCGAATATATTCTAACACACAAAATGCCTTTTCATTTCAGGTGAACACCATTCTTCAACCTGAACAAAAAACATTAAAAATTTAATTTGGTTAGTTTTTACACATTTTATTAAAATTTGAGATCATTTGAGGGAGAATTGGCTATGTTATTAAACTTAAATGATCTCAATTTTTTGGGACACCTTGTACATTATTATATGCTGTATTGTGTGTGTATGCGCTGAAGTTGTATTTTAGGCTGCCTATTTTTGTTTTTCCTTACATGGTCATGTCTGTCACACCTGTCATTTGTCATGTATAAGCTGGGTCTAATCTTGGCATCAGTCCAGCTATAAAACTGTGTCAGTCCATTGTTTCACGGGCTGGCTAGTTTCCTGGTACCTGTGTGCAACGAATAAACTTCACTTCTCCAGACATATGGCTGGTCCCCTGGTTCAGTTGGGGTTTGGATTCTTCATATGACAAATAGCTTTTTGCCAAATAAATGATGCATGACACCCAGGTAGCATCTGAATTTACTTTGTGATAGACACAGGCGATACCTATAATTTTCTCACTGTCAATAAACTGCCACATAAGCTGACTTAAACTGTTTATTGGAGTCCATTAGAGCACTGACTCAATGTTATGTGGCTGACTGTGCTTGTATGTGTATGAAAATTGGCAGGGAATCCTGTTTACTGCTTGGAGAAACACTTAGTAAAAATATTTGTATTTGAGTCGATTAAGGATTAATATCAGAAAGAAACATCATCATAGAAACTACCCATACTTCAGTACTGACTCGACCAACTATAGCGCGTGGACCTCTCTCAATGTGTACATAATTAAAACGTCTGTGTATTGCATGCAAATAATGTGAAACCAATGGTCGAATACAGTTTAATGCAGATTAACCGTTTTGTATGATTTTCTAGTCAGATTTTTTCGTGTTAAACCAAACACAAAGTGCACAACGCAATGACTTTTTCAACACAAACATTACGCAACATTTAAACTACAGGTGAATTGCTCTGTGTTTGTCTGTCCTCTCTGGGCGTGTCTGCAGTGATGTCTCTCTAAAATACACTCGTGTATCCTCTGCTGGAAGCCGCTTATCTCGTCTCCTCCGTTAGTCAGAGAGCCGGTCAGATGGCGTTACGAAAATGCCTTCCGGATCACGGAGGAGAGAAGGAAGATCGCTAGGAAAAGCAGTTATTTTTAGCATTTCTGGATGCAGCCAAGTTGTATGCAGTACTTCTGGGAAATGAAAAAACCATTAACCTCTGTGTGCCGGGCGACGGCCGGAAATGGCGGCTCTTGTGACGGTAGGAACAGCAGAGCCGGTTTATGAGGAGCCTGGCCACTTCCTATTCCCACACCTCCCCACTCATTTAGGACTTGCTCGGGAGCTCCCTCTAGCGTTTGAGAAACCTGGAAGTCATTACAGAGTGGTAATTCTCCTCTACAATTTCTCTGAGAACAGCCACTTCACTGTCACTTTTATCAGCAACAGTCACTGCACCACCACTTTTATTAGGCACTGCACCGCCACTTCACCAGCATATACATTAGCGACCGGCTCCGCACCGGCACCTTACCGTTACTTTACAGTCACTGCACCGCCACTCCACCATCACTTCACTGCCACTTTACCTCACTTTTATTAGCTACCGGCACTGCACCACCACTTCACCGCCACTTGTATTAGCGACCGGCACTCCACTGCCACGTTTATTATTGCCCAGCACTCACACAGTCACTCCACTCTCACCTTTATCAGCGACCGGCACCTGCACCGTCACTTCACTGTCACTTTTATCAGCGACCAATGTTCTAACAACTTGTCCTACCCATTAAGCGGTCCGAACATGCACATATCATTGCTACAGCATAGTAACTTCTATTTTTCATGTTAATTCAGGCTTACTTCAAGTCTATCATACAGCCCGCATGGAAAAAATATATGAACATATTTTTATATATTTGAAATACATTTCAAATAAATTGCAATCCATGCCAAAATACACTTCAGACACTAAAATGTATTTCAGAATATACTGCCATATTAACCAAATATATATTAAAATGCATTCATTTTAAAATGTATGGGGAAATGTTACACATATAAATGTACCACACAAAAATACATGTATATAAATATAATTATCAATTACATTTGAAAATGTATGAAAATAGCCAAAACTACTGTGTCTAATGAACTTTAGTGTTTGGAATACCTTTTGAAATGAATTTGTATTCCAGTATCTTAATTGTAAATAATAGTAAATTAACCTTTAAAATGGCAAAAAGCAAGTGTTGTATACAGATACACTGTGACGCAGTTTGGTGATTTGTTTATTTGATAAACATTTTGTGTGAGCACTGTCTTACTTGAATACGTACAGTTTATGTAAAGTACAATGCAAAGTCAGTACGTTCGTGTCTGTACTGATAACTTTAACCTTTAGTAAAATTACATACAATTTAAATACGATACGTACAAATACATGCATTTTCAATATGTATTTAATAAATACATTTTGTTGGCCGTTTTCACACATCGCAAAAATATATTTGATAAATAAACTTGAAAAATGCATTCAAAAATATATTTCACAAGTTTTCTTTGGCCATTTTCATATATTGCAAAAATATGTTCAATGAATACATTTGGAATATATATATATATATATATATATATATATATATATATATATGTATATTTATTTCCATATGGGAGACTAATCTTAATATTGCTATAACTCCCTGATAAGCTGATTTAGGCTATCCTAATTATTCTTTTAATGTTGGTAACATTTTCTAATAAGAGGGTTTAGGCTATCAAACTACTCTACCTGTAGTTGTAATGCTGGCAGCATTTTTCGGATACGGTGATTTAAGCTATTGCAATATCCTACTCTATTTTTAAGTAAGAAATAACATTTTGCTATAACCTAAAGTGGCCATTGTTTATTCAAAAAATGGCAAAACGTCAACAGCAAAATATATAGCCACTTTTAGTAGACCTTGAAATATTACATGAAAACTTGCAATATTAAAAATAATGTCACCAATGTCACCACTTGAATTAGACTGGCATCTTTGCTGCAAGTACATTCATTCTTGCTATCAACTTCTGAGCTGCTAAGCTAAATGTTAATATTGGTTGAACTGCAGGCGAAACGCAGCATGTGTGTTTGGTGATGTAACTTGTGTGACAGAATTGAGGTGTAATTGCTGTCCCACAGATTGTTGTTGAGGTAGGGGAGTGGGAGCTACACATTACATTGCATCGCATGCTGGAGATTGTTGGGGAGGGCATTGTGAAAGAAGCTAATATTAATAGAAAACTAAAATAATTTCACAAGTTGGGTAGGATTGTGCTGTTGTCTTGTTTATATCTTTGGATTTATTCATTTGTCAATGACTGAATACAACTGTATATACTCAATATTTACTATTTCATCTAACATTTAATGTTTAAAAACTACAATACAAATTCAAAATTTCTTTATAATGTCTTTTCACAGTTATCGTAATGTATTTTTTCATGGCTTGAAATCTCTCACTTCATTCTCAGTGTACAAGTTCAAGCAGAACCAAGCAGTAGCCTTATTAGAATGGGGCTTCTGACTGGTACCCCATACCAATTTACTGAACTTCTTAGGTGGCTGAGCAATTCTGTGAATAGGACAGAACAAACGCACCTGAAAAAATAAAAATAAAAATATTGTAGTGCTAGATAATTTACTAATGAGTCAAATGAAACATGATGGAAAAAGGGAAAAAAAAAAAAAATTTTAAGGTTTCTTCCCATCTACTGAACAACTATCACAGGACGATGTAAATTTAAATTGCCACATCGATAAATATATTCTGTACAAAACCACAACACCATAGCTAACATATAATACATAGCATTTTAGTTAGGCAAGATAAATTCATCTATGATGGGTTACTATTTACTAAGACATTTTTCTTCCTTTTTACTTAAAAGTTACGGCATACGATGCTTATGTAATGTAACGTATTAAGGAATGAAGCGGGTTACAATAATTCCTTATCTCCTAAAAATCCCCAAACACTAAATGCCACAAATTGCAGCCCATGTCAAGTCCCTTTAGATAGTGGTGGCTCGTGTGACTTCTCACCGTAACTGTGGCAGATGGTGTAACAGCTACCAAGAAATATGCTCCAGGTAAAATGGCTAATAAACGTGTCAGGTGAACTGCCAGCCACTAATAACACTGCCGGTGAAGTGAGGGTGTCAGTCGCTAATAAAAGCGATGAAGTGGTGGTGAAGTGATGTTCAC